TTTAAGAAAAGATGGTTGGTTGGGGTGGGTATGGAGAAATCCTGGTATAACTGTGTTGCAAAGACTTGTTGAGGAAAGGTTAATTGTGGGACTTTAGATAAGAAGGTGTAGGCTGGAGCAGCTTTGTTCTCAGAGGGTAAAGTTATGAAAAACTGATGGGGTGGCCTGAACTTACAGCAGGGCCCTGGAAGCCTCTTTCCGATCGACTGTTTTCTGTGGGTGGGGTTTGGAAGTACTTTTGCTTGATAAGCGCAGTTTCCTTTAATGGCCAGTTGAATCTGAATTCTTAGGCATTTTGCTGACTTTTAAAAAGAGATAAGAGGTAAACTTCGTTAAGAAGTCTCATTTTAGTGGTGTATAGGATTACACTTTGAAAGCATATTTAAATTGTGATCTAAAATGCTGGCATGTTCAATATATATTTTTTTATGCATTGATTATGGAAAGATTCTGTCCATCTGCTTGGAAGTGCAGATGACAAAGCAGGATGGTATCTATTTCAACGCTTTATCAGAATTCTGTTTCTGTTGGGCTTGTACAGCACTGGGTTTTGGTATTAGCAATGAGTCTTTTGTTTCCTGAGATTTCTTAATGCTTGGTGTGCTTATGTCAATACAGGGAATGGATATTCACTTTCCAGATCTATTCACTCCTGGCTAGGAGTTTACAAAGTCACATTTTACAAGTGTATGCACTAGGCATTAATGATTTGTTGAACATGCTGGGTGTGCACTCATCTCAGGGCCTTTGCACTTGCTATTCTCTTGGCCTGAGATATCCTTAGGTTCCACTTCTTCACTTCAGATCTTTACTCACATGTCACCTTCTCAATGAGCCCCATCCCAGTGCAGTCTATCCCTCCACTTATTATTATCTAATTATTTGGTTCCTCATATCTCCTTGCACTAAAAGACAAGTACCATGAGGGCTGAGATCCTTGTCTGTTTGGTTCACTGCTGTATCCCTAGGGCTTGGTACAGTGCCTGGCACAAACAGGTTATTATTAATTGAATGACAATAATTAATTGAAGTGATAAAATTGTGCATGTATGTCACTTTTATTTGGGCATAATTTGTCTGCTTGTAAATAATCCAGACCCCAATGAGAACTGTATCAAGGGACATGGATATGAAGATTGAACACCTGTGAGCCTAAGCATATGTGGAGATGTGAAATGGGAAGGGATCCTCAGGCCTGCTATGAGAGGTGCGGAGTATCACTGTGGTCAGGAGCCTCTTCTCTCCTGCTGCCCCTGCATGTGTCCGGGATCATTTCTGCAGAGTGGACCAGTCATCCCAAGGACCCCCTGATACCCACCGTGGACCCCTGAAATCAGTCTTTTCTGCCAAGACTTGACCCCCTTGCTCTGTTCACACTGCCAGGGTCATTTGTGCTGGGAAGTTTGAGAGTGGCGCCTGTATTTTCTGATTCTTGACCCCCAATTTGAAAAGCCAAATCCTGTACATTCCTTGAGCTCACCTACTGGGTGAGTCTCCACGACTAATTTCATGTTTCATTCCTCCCAGCAGGCAGGAGTCTGTCTGAGCATGGTTGCTATGATATCTAACTTTTGCTACCCTCTAATTATATCTTAGTGGTTTTGGGTAGGAAGCAGGCACTTAGGAACATCTGAGATTTTCTGAGGTTGAGCCTATCACGTTTGAGGCTCATTGGCAGTCACTAAAGATACTGTCTGGTTGTGATGTCTCTTCTGTCTCGTTCAACATTCTCAGCCAGCCTGAAATTTCTGGTCATCTTTCCGGACTGTGGCATAATCCCTGGAAGGTCTCTTTAAAATGAAAGTGGGTAACACATCTACCCCGGGAGTGCTCGTTGGCATGGACTCTCCACTGGAGTGGCTAGTGGAGAAGCAGATAGATCCCTGATAGCATGGGCACCAGGATGGTGCGTTTTGATGGAGGTGGGAGGGTAGAGCCTGGGACCTGGGGCATTGACTGGAGATGGCAGACATGAGCGAATGGCACTGGAAGAGGCCATGACTATGAGGGAACTTGATGTATGGGAAGAAGGGAGATCAGAAGAGAAATGAGAGAGCATGAAAAGAGAGGCATGTGGCACCAGAAAGAATGCTCAAGGTTTTTTTTTTTTTTTTTTTAAGATTTTATTTTTTTCCTTTTTCTCCCCAAAGCCCTCTGGTACGTAGTTGTATATTCTTCGTTGTGGGTCCTTCTAGTTGTGGCATGTGGGACGCTGCCTCAGCGTGGTTTGATGAGCTGTGCCGTGTCCGCGCCCAGGATTCGAACCAACGAAACACTGGGCCACCTGCAGCAGAGCGCGCGAACTTAACCACTGGGCCACAGGGCCTGCCCCCAAGAACCCGCAAGGTTTTGTGCTGGGATTTTCTACAACCTGACCTGCAAGATAATATGTACTTTTTTCTCTTTAAATGGAGAAGTATGCATAAATCATAATCTTAGAAGATTCCTGAGTTGTGAGAATTGGTCCGACATGCTTTGGGTTCATAATCCTATTTATCTCCTTTCTTTTTCTAGATAATAATTGGTTTGGGCTTGCAAAGAAATTGACACAAGTCTTCTTATTTCCCCCGTGTCTTCTTTCATGCGAGTTGAGTGTTGAACACAGAGCTGTGCCTAGGAATTGTCGAACCTAGACAAGAAAGCAGATAGGTCAGCTTTGGGGTAATTCTGATGCTGTCAGTGTCTGGAGGCTTCCTGTATTTAGAATGCATGTGTAACATCATCTTTTCTCCCTCAATCCCCACGCTCACTCATTTTGTAGACTCCGAAGTCATTATGGCTTTATGGAGAGGTTGGTGCAGGGCAGAGGAGACAGGGCTCACTCTACTGGGTCATGAGTTCTGGGCACAATGCTGACCCCATCACAGACTCTGCTGACCTATAAAACATGTTGTTAATCTTCTTACTGTCTGTCTTACAAGATCTGGGAGGAAAAATGAGGTAATGTCTACTTAGACCTTTGAGCTTCTCGGAAGAGCAGCCTTCTACGGTAATATGATTTCCTAATGCATTTGTTTGTGTTGTAATGGAGTATAATTCCATTTACCTAAAGTTCTTCAGATACCTCTAGAATGTCTGACGGTCTTGTGCAGGGGAAGCAATCTGGCTCTGAGAGTGAGAACTGGGCCTAGTCTAAGACCTATCCTCAAAGGGTACTCAGCCACGTGAGCCAGCTCTAAGTTTATGAGGTGAAGGAAAGGAAGCTGGGAGAGGAAGGAATGGCAGCTAGAGTTGGTGGTGATCGGGAGAGACAGCTGTAATTATCTTAGAGGGTTTATATCATACTTTTAAATCATGTTGTTTTACTGAAGATCAATATCTCAATATATTGTAAAATATATATGTTTATTTTAATTTAGCAATATTACAGATTGGATGACTCATCTGCAGTATTGATCCTGCCATGCATCTCTGTATTGATAGACTCTTTAAGGCTCTTTAACCTAGTCCCCTTCAAGATTGACTTTATTATGTTCTTGGGCCACAACCTGGCTGTCTAATAATTTGTTTCTGACTCTGATACCAGCAGTTCCAGACAAAGACAAACGAATTTATACATTCATTTGTAAAATACCTAGTAGGTTACTAAATAATGTTTTATCTTTGTTCTGTAGTTAAAGGAATAAGTAAGTCTTTTTTATTGAAATAGTCATGAACAGCATAATTTTTTATATAGCCTGTTCAGCAGTATTACAATTGGTTTTCTAGTCAGTCCTAAAAAGAGAAGTTATAACAAAAGGATAAACAGTGGGGGAAGTATATATATGTGTCTTCTTCTCTGACATACTATAAGGATGTCAACTTAGGTTACAGTTATTGTTATTGGACAGCCTTGTTGTGGAATTTTCTAGAAGCCATTGGTTCTTTGGCATTTCCAACCCAGCATTTCAAAAAAAAGGTCAGCCTTCTGCAAAGGAATTTTGAGTAACTATTGAGTTAACCAGGAAAGAAAACAGTAAGTCTTTTCTTCCAGAGAGGTGACTATATACACTTTTTAATAGCAACATATTTGTATTTTTAGAGCAATGGTACTAATCATATCCCTTTTTCTGAAGGGAGGAAAAGTGTTACAACTTTCATTTGCTAAGTTATGGAATATAGTGCAGAGAGAACATATCTTGTCACCCAAAATGTAGCATGAAAAAATAAATTCCCACCAAATTGTGTGCCGCATGCCAGGACATATGAAAAAAGTCAGTATTTGTCTCTCAGATGAAGAACATCTTATATAAGGAGATGATGTAGAAATACCGTGGAACTGCTCTTTAGACCAAACTAATCTTTTACTAAAAAGTTATCACTCAGAAATGCAGTTCATATCAAGTTAGGTTGCGGGTAGTCTTAATAAAATCCCATTTTTGTTGGAGAATGTGGTTGCAAGGACATGGCCACCAGTTGACTCTTGAGCTGGACCCAGGAAATCGGAGGCTTCTCACCCCTCTCCTGTCCTTGGGATCTACATTCTTCCCACCATTCCCACAGCAGGAACCATTTTCAAGGACTTGAAAGAGTACGGTGCTGTTGAGAGCACTTGGAAGGTAGACATGACTGAACCCCATTAAGGCCTCTACATAAACTCTTAAGGTTCTGACGAGCAGTGCCAGAGATCTGCTCGTCTTGTGGCCACCCATGACAAGCCTCGGGTGTGTGTTCCTTTGCTTATTACAACCGCCCCCTGCCAGTCTGGAGCGGTTGTCTCTTCCTTCGGTCTCCCCTCGCCTTCCATGGATGGGGGCCTACTTCGGATTTCACCCAGGGAAGCTCCTGAGGAGGCAAACCAACAGTTTTTGATTGCTGATAATTTAGTAAAATTGGATGAGTGTTTCTGAATGTTAAACGTGTTGTGCAATTTTATATCCTCATGTAAAACTTCATGATGAATTTCTGCAATTGTGTATGCATAGAGCTAAGGCATACTTTTAAAAAAAGATTGAAAAATGCTCTCTTTGTATTGATCTGTTGCACATTAAATTGTGACGTTTTATTTGAATTTGTTTCAGAATCGAAGCAAACGCTTGGAGAGGGTCCATGTGGTTATTGGACACAAATCGTGTGACCTGGATTCTCTCATTTCTGCCTTCTCGTATGCTTACTTTCTGGACAAGGTGAGGAGAAAGAAGATTATGCTTTGTATATTTGAATTATGATGTAACTTTTAAGAACAAGCATTTTTTGGAAAAAAGGAACCTATTAATTTAGTTTTTCATGTTCTGTTTTATTGTTGCAGAGAATAAAGTATTATCATCCACTAATCAACATTTATTGAGCGCCTACTATATGTTAGGCTTTGTTCTAGTTACTTCTTACCGACTTTCTTCATAAAACATTATTTCAGTAAGATTTGTGTTTTGAAATTCAAAATTAAAAATTTGTATAATAGATGATTACTTTTATGGGAATTCAGAGAACTAACAAAAGCAAGGGTCAGAATTTCTTATTTTCCTTTATCATCCTTCTTTGATAGTCCTGCCCTTGGGAGTAGAAAAATATGTGCATAATAGCCACGGGGACAATATATGAAGGACAGAGTGTATTGGCGGGAATTTTCGGTAGCAGAGGTATTGCATGTCACATCTGTGTTCTGTTTTTGCCTTTTGATCGTGGCTTTGTGCAGCAAGGTCATCTCAGTTAGTGATAATCTCCCTCGAGTGAGAATCTTTCTCCTCTGTGAAGTCTATAACACGCCTGTAGAGGTGGAAAAGACCTATCAATAAATTGTTTTAAAATTTTCATTCCATAAAACTCATCAGCCCATGATAATGCGTCACCTTAAAGCCTAGAAAAGTACATTATGTGTGTTTCAGTGCTATTTCCAATTTCACACAATTTTTAATTTTCTGCAGTCTGATTTGTTTTATTCCAATTTTGTTTGGATCCTTGGCTCTGAGAGTATGCATAGCTGATCTAGAGCGATTTAAATTCACACAAAACCCAGTCTTCCAGAATAAGCTGTGGGTGGCAAGAATGGCTTTAAGGCGGCAGCTGACGAAAACACTGGGTAAAATATTCTGATCTCTACATAGGGCTTTATGTTGAATTTATCTTAAAATTTGTTGAACTTTACAAGGGAGATTGGTGTGAGGAGATAAATGTGCCTGTACCACGACATGCATATTAAATACTAATTTTATTTACTGGAGTTTTTGACTCCTAAAATGTTGCTTGTCTCCAGAATGTAAGAGTTGACTGAACCAAACTGGTTTTTAGACTGATGGTGACATGCACTCTCAAGGAAATTATATAATAATAATACCACCACCACCGCCAACTACAATGTCTTGAACGAATATAATAACATGCAATAAAAAGACTAGGAAAAGTAGTTGTGATAAATAAAACAAATAGATAAAAATAAAGAGGTGTGTGGCTTCTCTTCTCCTTCTCCTAAGGCTCGCTGCTAAGCACGGAGACAAATATGGAATTACTGAAGGGTCAGATACTGGGAATTTATTATATTTCTGTACCTTCCTCTTAGTTTACTGGGTTTCACCCCCCTACCAGAGGTCTGAGTCTGTGTTTTAATTTTTCCTGAGAACCTGGCTATTCCCTCTCAGAGTATTAATACATGGGATAATTAAAGATCTTTGCAGCTTCCCATGTATGACTCCATTGAAACACTCCTCTCTGGTAGAGAAGACCCATTCTACACATGGGGAAAACTGAGGCTCAGAAAGGAAAATGGCTTTCTCAAAATCACACAGCAAAAGCTGGGGCTAGAACCTAGTTCTTCTGACTCCAACTTCAGAATAGATCCTGCCAGCATAGGCTCAGGCTATATACTCTGGACTCAAGTTTCAATATCAGGAGTTAGATATAACTCTATCAACTAATTAGGAAAAATAACTTGCTATACATAAGTTGCTGATGATTGTTACACAATTGTGATTCAGTATTAGCTTGACAGGTGGGAGAAAAACCACTTCGTTGGAATAGCTCTATGTGTTGTATACAATAGCATGTGTGAGTGAGATTCATTTATTCCACTCAACAAATATCTACTAAACGTCTACTATGTCCCAGCCTGTTTTATGTGCTGGAAAACATAACCGAACTAAAAAGACCAAAAGCCCTTTCTTCTTAATGCTAGAAAGGGGAGATGGATGACGAAGATGTTAAAACTGTGTAATAAGCACTAACTTGTGACAGAGCTGGAGATGATGTCAGAATAAAGGGCATTTCTTTTCTGCAAAAATTCAGTGTTACCAAACCCTGCTGTCTCTTGGTGATATTTAGGGTTTACTGCTATGCATTCATAGTAATTTTTAAAAGTACCTTTATTTTTTAAAATTCTCATAGAAAAGTAAGTTTATTATTGTGAATCTGAAACTCTCTAACTCCTACCCGTCTTCTGTTTCCCCCAATACCACAATTTTTTTATAAGAGGTTTGTTAATATATGATTTTTAAAATAACATATGAAATCAACAGAGATCATCATCTGGTAGTCTGTGGGCTAAATCTGGCTTGTAAATGAGTTTTCATTAACCTACAAAGTACTTTCAATTTTTAAAAATTAACTGGAACAGTTAAACATGGCAAGTAACCCCCTCAAATCTAGAATTCTAGCTTTTCTTGCTTAGTTGACAGATCTACTATCCTGGGCCTGAATGTTTTGCATGTAAACAATTGGCCGGAGGTGAGTGGCAGGCATCTTCTAGAGATGGGACATATGTACCTGTCTGTGTCACCACAGTCCTCACCTGCTCTCCATCAGTCATTCTAATTTTATGCCGATTCCATAAAGACGTGTGAATTTGCTTTGTCTCAAGAGGAGAATGTATAAATATATTTTTAAATCATGGAAGGGTTGAAATGAAACAAAATATTTTGAGTGAGTCATGAGAAGTTTCACGCAGAATAACAGATTAAAAATATTAGGGGCCACTCAGCCTTTGATAAAGTTCTTCTGCTAATCAGGTTCAGGAAAAGTTGGTTATGAATGTCAAATGATTTAACGAGACCAAAGGGCTTACATTGCCTTTACCAGTTACCCTTGGGCTTGAGAAAATGTAGCTGTGTTCTTTCCTCCTGCTGTTGTCAGTGATGCAGCCAACTTTTTTCTTGGTAGGTCAGTCCACCTGGGGTGCTCTGTCTGCCCGTGCTGAACATACCAAGAACCGAATTCAACTACTTCACCGAGACAAGGTTTATTTTAGAAGAGCTGAATATCTCTGAATCGTTCCATATCTTCCGAGATGAAATTAATCTGCATCAGCTAAATGATGAAGGGAAGTTATCTATAACGCTTGTTGGCAGCAACGTGCTGGCGAGGTAAGGCTTCACGTGAGGCTCCGGAGGGAGGTTGATCTTTTAACAAAGGCTCTTCTGGGCAACGTATTACCTTGTTCAGAATTTTTGTGGTTTAGAGAGATGTGTTAAAGGCAGAAGACATTCAGAAGAAAGGGGATAATTTTTCTTCTCTTATGGCAAAATTTAGGCTATGCCAATCCTCTGTTTTTACTTTTGCGTTTCAAATACGACATCTTTGAGTGGAAAGTTCTTGTAAAATTGACTGAAATTATAGTTTTAAACCATTCCAAACAGCTTCCTATGGCAATGCACAGTCCTCTGTAGTGATGCTGAAAATGTGTAATGAAAATTGAACTTAAACACTAAATAAAACAGAAAAGATCTTAAGAAAGAAATCTCAGCGAAAAGGAAAATTATGTAGGTGGGCTATGAACGTCATTTGATCATTGGCTCATCATTCATAGCATCTTATACTAGAAGAGCAGGATGGATTTTTGAAAGTTCATAGAGTTCAAACTCCTTATTTTATGGACAAGACACCTGAAACCCAGTGTTACAAATGACCTACCCAAGGTCCACATGAAGTTAGCAGAAGAGTGGATTAGAACTTGGGCCTCTGCCTCCTTCAAGAAGCACTTAAGAGTTGCTAACTGGTTGGAGAATCTAAAGGTGCATAAAGAGGAATAAGACTAATCCTCTGCCTTCAAGGGCCTTACAACCCAACACAAAGATGCCCTTTGACAGCTCTCGAGTGAAGAGTCACAGTTAACCATCTCAGTGGTTTGAGATGTTAGTTTTTTTCCGCACACTTTGCCAATCTGCTAATTGTAGATGATGTTAACCAGTGGACATTGACTTTACTATACATGAAATAAAAACTTGTACAAGTATCTAATTTTTTATTTAGCCTTTTTTAAGGAAGCATATTAAGGTATGAGTACATCGTAATGCAGTCATATAGTTCATTCAGTTATAAAGAGTTTTGAAAAGAATCTGCCTGTGTGGGGCTGTTTTTATCCCCATGGTATTTGAAACACACAAAATTCCTTTGAATAGTGTTAGCAATCAGTTGTTGACAACTGGCTGAGACTTATGGGTAGGTCATTTGACTGACTTCAGTTATCAGTGTTCAGGATGATAACGTCCTTGACTAAATTTATGTGTTAACTTTTTCAAACCAACAAATGCAAGCAGATATGGAAAAAGACAATGTGAGAAGCCCAAAGTGTGAACTATGAAATGTGTGTCAATCAAATCTTAGCAAGAATTTTATCACCAATTAAGATTGAAAAATTTATGCTGGTTTTGAGATGAAGTTGGGAACTTTGGCTTTGAGATTGTTTATGAAACAGAATTCTCTCCAAAAATAGAGATCTTCGTTTCCTTCATTGCCACTCATTTGCTTTTGGCAGATAGAAAGAACTAAAGTTTTTTTATCCATATTTTCTTCTTGCCTTTGATAAAGCCAACTCTATCTTCCATATAAATAATGGTGGTGGAAGTAAATAAGCCAAGAGTATTTTTTCTCCAGTGCTGTGGCTGGATGTACAAGCTTTGGAACCAGGTTCTCAGAGTTTAAATACAAGCTAGTCGCTTACAAGCTTTGTAACCTTGGACAAATTTCTTAATCTCTTCATTCCTCTATTTCCCCATTTGTAAAGTGGGAATTTTACTAAAACCCATGTCATAGGGTCAATTTATAGTATAAAATGTGACAATATTCTGGAAGTATTTATAGTAGTGTCTGGCCTATAGTGGGAGCTCAATATTTAGGTATTATTATTTTCCAACAGCAAAACAAGAGATAGAAGTGCCAAGGTCTTCTAAGACTCTTGGGGAGGTAATTAGTTGAAAGGAAGCGTGAAAACACATAGAATAAGGTTCTCCTCTTCTGAGACATGTGAGCTTACTCGTATTTTTGGCTATTGAGAAGAAGTCATTTGTGTGGGAGCAGAGATTAAATAAGTCAAAAAAGTGAGAAAACATGCCATATCTCTTTCTCTTTTTCTCCTCCATTTGCTTTACAGTGAGGACAAAACTTTAGAATCAGCAGTTGTCAAAGTCATTAATCCGATCGAGCAGAGCGATGGCGGGCTTGAGTTCCGAGAGTCTTCCTCCTCCCTCGTGGTGAAAGAGATACTCCAGGAGGCTCCTGAGCTCATCACCGAGCAGCTGGCTCATCTCCTCAGAGGTAAGAGATGACTCCTATTAAATACTGGAAGGCTTAATGGAGTGTCTCTCGACTTGCTCACGCAGAAAGAGTGTGATCCATTCTTGGGTTAACAATCCCTTTAAAGACCACAGGAAGCTTCATCGGAGAGGCAGGGAGTGAAGAGTTTGTTAAAGAATAGCATTATATTGAATATTAAAAATGTGCATTTAAAAATAGGCATGAAGGATCTTTGCTGTTTCACTAGATGAGAATATTAAATGGAACTGCTGCACCTCTGTTGGGGGCTGGAAGCGCTCCTCTGGCCATCTAACTGATTCCAGAGATGCTTCTTGCCCCACAACAGCATGAGTATGGGCCAGAATGCCACGTTCCTGTATCGAACTATCTCCTGATACTGATAAATGCCTGGTTTATTTAATACTGTTTGGATGGCAAAATCCTCAACTTTCACGTTGGTGATATTGTATGAGGGCTTTAACAGTGAAATTGTCACCTCTTTCGACCCCCATCTTCTAATACCAAGAGTATGTTGACTCAAGTCTTTTAAGGACTATTTCCTTCACGTCCTCTGTCTCTACCACAATTTGGAGGGAAAAGCTCCATGAGTGATATAGTTCCTGTAAATGTTTTAGAACTAATGGCCCTAGTAAACCTGTTTTAAATATTTTTCTGTCTACGGACATCTGTAAAAATGCTCTACAGGAAACTGTGCCCTCAACTAAACTAATTAAGCACAATCATCAATCTTTGTGACAGAGCAGAGGGAAAATAAAGGTAATTGGGGATCTCCGCTAAGAGGGAAGTTATTTGACAGTACAAATGTGTGGGGCAGGCAAACACTAGAGAATATTCTGTTTAAATATCTTGCAAACCAAGAAGTTTGGTTTATTGTTCAAAAAATACATGTGTTATTTAGTAGGAAAGAAATGTTGGTAATGAATAGCTTATCATCATGATTTTCTGTAAAGAGCAAAATCATATGAAACTGTAATACATTGTTGCAAAGGTATGATTTTTGTCTTTGATGACGATGATGGCGATGATGACGATGATGACGATGATGATGACATTTAGACTTAGGGAATTAAAAGGGGTGCAGACCCTTTTATTAGTTACCTTGATTTTAGTCTTCAGAGACACCAAAAACTAGAGCAATGGGAAAGGACCTTGACTTTTCCTATCATCGGAGATTTTTCCATAAGTTTTGGCTTGAAGTGGCATTAGGAAGTGAGCAGAATAGGGACATCACTTCATGGTCCCTTGAAAATTGGAATACTAGAGAATGAAGTGCCTCTACCTGTGAAGATAGACAATACAGATACTATCATGAGAGGCAAAGTCACTGAAGCCTGGGAGGTGGAAGACGTGGGTGGCTTATTACAGTGGAGAGAGGGCTCTGGAGATCTTTGGCCAAGGTGTGCGTGTATATGTGGAAGGGAGATGGAACATCATTGAACAGTTTTGCCAAGAGGGAACTAAAGGATGATGATCCGGGGACTTTGATTCTAAAGAAGTAACTCAAGTGTTCAGAGTGAGAAGGGCAACGAGCCGACTTTTAAAACTTCCAATATTTAGTAAATATATTAGAAGAGAATCAAGTCAAATTTTGCTATATTCACTAAACTCAAACATGGATTCCATAGTGTTCCAATCATGTATCAACACCAAACATAAAGAGAGGTTGCTTACGTGCCTATAAATAAATTTGGCATTCTTTATTTTCACGACGTGAATAGTTCTCTTTCTAAAGGGTTTTCTCTATAAACAGCTATGATGTTATTTTATATTTTGGAGTGTTTGAAATGATCATTAATTTGACACACATTCCTAGAATGTATTTATGCATTCTCATAGGTCTTGAAGGAAGGCAACATTTCTATGCACACCTTTGCCATAAAGAATTTTGAAAAATGTCTTTCCAGATGTTGTGAGACTAAATATTTATGGCTGAGGCTTGAAAGAGTCTTTAAAAACATCATAATTAGAGCTCTATGGAAGATATATTATTATAAACTTTGTACCAAAAACATTTGAATTTACTGCAAACTGAGTACTTAATTTGATTGTTCTTTCCCTTTTATACTCGTGGTCATATCCTAAAATACATCATGCTGAGGCACACTGGTGTGCTGTAAGTGGATTTCAAGTGGGCCAAGGTGTTGATCCCCTCAGTCCTTGGAAAGGACCCTAAGAATGCTTTGTAGCCCAGTTGCTGAAAAAAATTATAGTTTTCAATGTGCTCCTTAACGTGCAAAAGGTTGGGCCTACTCTTACTTAGTTTTGCTTTTTAGCTCCTTCTTCTCTGTTCAACGTCTAAGTATTGCGATGCCCTAGAACTTTGTCCTGTGACATTTTTTCTGTCTAGAGTATCCTTAGGTGACCTCGCTTAGTTCTGAGATTTTAAGTATAGTACACAGTCTGTAACTCCCTGTAGCTTCAACCGTGACCTCTCTTTAGAATTCCAGGTTCACATCCAGTGCCCACGTGACAGCTGCACACGCGTGTCTAGTTAGCACCACCGCCTTAGCATGGCTGTACTGGAACCCTTTGGTTCTCCGTACCTCCAAACCTGCTTTTATCTCAGTTTCCCCATATCAGTAAAAGGCACCGCCAACCACCCACTTACTCAAGCCACAATCTAGAGCTGTACTTGATTCTTTCCTTTACCTTTCTTCCCACATTGCTCCATCGGCAAGTCCTGCTGACTCTACATCTGGAACATAACCTGAATCCATCCCCTTTTCCCATGATCACTACTAGCAATCTGATCCAGGCCTCTACCCTGTCTCTTTGACTAATGCAATAGCTGCCTGACTGTTGCCCTATTTCCTCCATAAAATCTATTGTTTAGGAAGTAGTCAGAATTATCTTTTAAAAATGTAAATCAGTTTATGTCAATCTCCTTTTAAAAGCCATCATACTCGGAATCCCAGCACCCCGCCCTTGCAGTGCACAGCACAGTCTTTCCCCTGCCTGCTCCAACACCATCTCATGCTATTTCCCCCTTTCCCATGTGTGTTCCAGGGACAGGGGCCTTTCAGGTTTTCAAATATGCTAACTTTCCACTCGAGGGTTTATATAAGCTGCCAGCTCCTTCTGGAATGCTAGTTTCTATCGATTTACTCATCTTTCTTTCTGTCTGTCACTAGTCTCCTCCTCGCTCTTGCTCCTTCGCTCCACAACAGAGGCTTCATGAGAAAAGAGATCTTATGTGCTTAGGTCCCTGCTCCACTGTCGTGTCTCTGGTGCCTGGAACAGGGCCTGCCACATAGCAGACCCTCCATAAACACTGTCATAAAATGAATTTTGCAAGATTCTTTAGATACTTTATATTTTTATGACTAAATTGACCTAGTTAGTGCTGTAATATTTTAATTTCCATTGCATTCCAACCCATCCCTCCAGCATTCTTAAAGTTCAGACTTTAGACATTGTTCCTTCCAATAATAAACCTTTTTTTTAATTGCAGTAACATTGGATTATAACATTATATAGCTTTCAGATAAACATTGTAATATATTTTGAATTCTGTGTAGATTACATCATGTTCACCACCCAAAAACTAATTATAGTCCATCCCCTCACGTGTGAGCCTAAGCACCCCTTTTGCCCTCCCCCCTCCCCTATGGTAACCACCAGTCCAATCTCCATTGCTATGTGTTTGTTTGTCGTTGTTTTTATCTTCTACTTATGAGTGAGATCATACGGTATTTGACTTTCTCCCTCTGACTAATTTCACTCAGCACAATACCCTCAAGGACCATCCATGTTGTCACAAATGGCTAGATTTCATCATTTCTTATGGCTGAGTAGTATTCCATTGTGTATAAATACCACATCTTCTTTATCCATTTGTCCCTTGATGGGCACCTAGGTTGCTTCCATGTCTTGGCTATTGTGTATAATGCTGCAATGAACATAGGGGTGCAAGTATCTTTACGCCTTTGCTTTTTCAAGTTCTTTGGATAAATAACCAGCTGTGAGATAGCTGGATTGTATGGTAGATCTAGTCTTAATTTTCTGAGCATACTCCATACTGCTTTCCATAGTGGCTGTACCAGTTTGCACTCGCACTAGCAGTGTACGAGGGTTCTCTTCTCTCCACGTCCTCTCCAACATTTGTTGTTTCCTGTAAACCTTTTTTTTTTTAACTTTTAGAAGTCCTAGTAGAATTTGTTTTCTTATTTTGCAAACATTTGTTTTTATTTTCATCTTTTGGTTGTCATTATATATATAATGTATATATGTATCATTATAGGTATGTATACACATTACATATATAATATACATTATATGTATCATATATATTATATATATGTATCAAACACATATCATATACATATGATATATATCATATACATTATACAGAATTTTAATTCTTTCATGGAGTATAATACTGTACAGAAAAGAATACAAAACATGAATATAAAAACAAAAATATACAGCTCAGTGAATTATCACAAAAGATGTCTTTTTAACAATTATCTAGGCAAAGAAATAGAACAAGATGACCTCCTTGTGCCCCTTCCTATCACTACCTAGTCCCTAACTAACTAATGGTAACTAGTACTCTGATTTTTATGGCACACACTTCCTTGATTTCTTTATAGTTTTACCAGCCCTGCATGTACCCTGTAACAGTACAGATTGGTTTTGCCTGTTTTGTATATTATATAAATGAAATAATACGGTATGCACTCTCGTTGTGATTAGGTCTCTACATTGATATTAAATGTAGCGTCTATTTGCAATAGGCCAGTTATCTGTCTATCATCTATCTACTTATTATTTATTTATTTTATTATTTATATCCTTCCTTCTTCCATAGGATATTTGAAGTGGCTTACAAAAATGCCTGCAAATATAATGCAACAGAGAAAAATTTCAGAGTCAGGAAAAATAAAAACCTGTAGAGAAAGGAATAAGATCAAGATAGAATACAAAAATTTGCAGGAGTGAAAAACGTATTCAATTTGAAACTTTGGATATGAGCTTCCTGGAGAAATGCAATCAGTTGT